GAAGGAGAAGGAGAAGGAGAAGGAGAAGGAGAAGGAGAAGGAGAAGGAGAAGGAGGAGGATCTTTCTCAAATCTCTCTAATTTGGTATCTTAGCACAGTTCACAAGGACAAGCAGGAAAACAGAGACATTCACTCCTGCAAAAAGAAAGCCAGCCCCTCTTTCACACACCAAGTGATATCCATTTAAAATTGTCCATTTAACAAATGTTATGAGAATTTGATTTCTTGACAAAGCAACTCCATGCTGCCCTTCCTGATCCAGTGACCTCCAGAGGTGCTAGGACATGAATTTCACCCTCCCCAGACAACAGGGTGGGCAGAAAGCAGTGGGCATGGTAATCCAGCACATCTGGAGACCACCAAGCACAGGGAAATTGCTCCAAACAGCTTTTATTTTAAAAAAGTAATCAGAAGCTTGGGTTTTTTTCATCTCTTTTAAATGCAAAATGAAGTAGCACATTCTGTTGATGCTCAGAAATAAAAAAAGTTGAAGTGTCTACTATCTGGGACGTATTTCCAACCTAAAAGCAAAGTAGATATTTTATAAACAATATTTAGCCAAGCATAAAACACAAAATACTTACATCACTAAATTTGGGACCCGGTAATGCTAAGCTGTCCCTGGCCAGAGCTACAATCACATCGCTCTTCTCCCCAGCCCAGTGAACGACCATTTGATTGTGAGAATCATTCAGGCTAACCTGGAAAGAGAAAATGTGGTTAAAAGAGGAGCAACACAGCACTGAGAGAGGTAAAAAGTCAAGGAAACCTCTCCATGCAAAGCTTCCTAGCTCATTTCAGCTCTTGAAGAAATGAGAAAGGAAGAGTCTGTTTGGTCACCTTATATACTTTGTTATTTTAAAGAGGAGCAACCGGAGCTCCAGGGTAGGGCAGCATTAGGATCATTGAATTCTATAGGTCTTCTGTGGAAATTTCTATCATCATGTCTCTTTGCAATCATAATGGCATGAAAGACTAGCCACCATGATTTCCTCAGAGGAACATGATGACAATACAGAGCTGGTCTTTTCTCAGGGTCAGTGCCTTCTAGTCTCTCAACCCAGTGCTGATATACTTTTTTAATACCTTGAAGAGGGAAAGATATCAGTACTCCAATGACAGTAACTGGGGAGGGAAATGTCTCCAAGAAATGAATTCCCCTAGGATTTCCATTTGACTCACTCTCTCTGAGCTTTTCGGAAACCTGTAAAGACTAATTAATCTCTTTTGTCTAGCCTTTAAAGCCCAATTAATTTTATGCTTCATGTTTTCATTTTACTTGCTTTTAACTTTCATATGCATTTTGTCCCTGCATCTGTTGTTCTAAATTGTAAGCCATCTCAGGTGTCCTTTCCCAACAAAAAGGTAGCTTATAAATCAAGTGAATAAATGAATGTGTGATGGAAGACATGAGCGGGGAGGATTCTGGAATGGAGCTTCAAGGTTGCCGGGAGGGGGAAGAGAAGAGGTTCCAGGGGAAGCACCTCCTCAGCCCCCAGCCGGAGTGTGGGGAAGTCAAGAGAAGGAGACTAGCCCCTCCCTAAGGGCATCATGGTTATAGTTGCTGTTGCTGGGGATTAGAATAAGTCTGGCGAGATTCTGTCTATTAGGTGTTAGCTAATAAAGGAGCTGAACTGATTCTGGACTGTCTCGCTGTTGTTCTTGGGCTGAACCTGACAGAATGCCTGTATATAAGCTTCTCCAGAGATACTTTAATCAGGGATTAGAATAAGTCTGGCGAGATTCTGTCTATTAGGTGTTAGCTAATAAAGGAGCTGAACTGATTCTGGACTGTCTCGCTGTTGTTCTTGGGCTGAACCTGACAGAATGCCTGTATATAAGCTTCTCCAGAGATACTTTAATCAGGGATTAGAATAAGTCTGGCGAGATTCTGTCTATTAGGTGTTAGCTAATAAAGGAGCTGAACTGATTCTGGACTGTCTCGCTGTTGTTCTTGGGCTGAACCTGACAGAATGCCTGTATATAAGCTTCTCCAGAGATACTTTAATCAGCTACAACCCAGGCTCATCCATTCTGTCAACACATTCCTACGCTGGTTAAGAACCATAGGAACTGCAGTCCACTGGTTCTGTGGCTACTAGAGTCCTTGATGGCTGAGAATTATTGGGGGTGTAGTCCAACCCACCTCAGGATGGAGCTGGCACATCAGCTGAAAGCATTCCCAAGGGTTAGTTAGATTCACCACGAAAAAGCAGAGTCCTACAACTTTTTGTTTCCTAGGTTTGACAACCATTCTGAGTAGCCGGCTCTTCCCTTCTCTCTTCTCACTCCCTTTCTTAGCTCTTTGGTCACTCCTTCAACTTACTCCTCAGTAGTTCTGCACAACAGAAGAGCCTGTTTGCTTATCAAATGAATAAGCAGCCCTTGAGAGGTGAGGAGATGCTGGCCACCATTCGCTTCTCTCCAAAAGGATAGACATTTCCACCAGGTTGTGTAGCTGGTTGGCTTCAGTGGTGGAAAGCTGGTTTGGAGCACACAGAAGGTGCAAACAGAATGCCTGCCTGCAATTCCTAAAACAGGGGCTTGCATAGCAGGGGGGGTGGGGTGGGGGTTCAAAAAGTCCAAATGCAGCTTCCCCTGTCCTTAAAACAGCCGTACGTTTTCCCAAGATCAGACAGCTGCCCATATTTTCTAGTTTAGGGAGTTGCAGACAAGGGTTACCCACGTGCCCTGCATGCTCCAAACCAGCTTTTCGCCTTCAAATCCCAATGACCACCCAGATCTAATTTCCAGCTTCACCTCTTCACCACTCTTTCGCCAGCCAGACTGCTTTGCTTTCAAACCCAGGGGAGATCAGCCGTCCAGACCCTTCCAACTTGGCACAGGATGTGGCTGAAGAATTAATGCATTTTCAATACTGTGATGCAAGTTTTATAAATAAAAAGCAAAGCAAAGCAGCTGTGTCGCCATTCACAACTGTGAGAACAAGTCTTTGCATCTTTGGGATTGCAAGACCAGCAACACCTGGAGATTCTTTTGATCTGTAGCCTTCCTTCCAGCAGACATTTGCAACTGAGGCACAAGGATGAAAGTTTGGATTTCAAGGGAAGTATTGGGGTTCTAGCTTTTCTGACAAATTAAAAACGTCAGAATTGAAGACCGTATCAACCGAGAGGTTTTGAAAGAATTCTATGAAATGGCAGGGCAATCAATGAAAAAAAATCACTTATCCCTAAGCTTGTGGTCCATGTCAGATGCCTGGAAAGCAATATAACCCCCCCCCCTCCTTTTTTTCCCAAAGAGATGAAGAGGCATCAGAGAAGGGATGCAGGAAATCTGCTTTCCAGTTTGCTGTAAGAAAATAGTTTGAAGTAATGATTAAAGATAAAATAACATAAACAGAAGAACTAAGTCGTGCTGAAAAGGAAGGAGTCAAACTCCTATCTGCAATCATTTGGGGTGCACTAAAATCATATTCTAGGACAACATTACTCACTGAGAAGTAAACTGGCAAGGCCCAATTCTCATTGTTGCCTTTTTTCCCCCCATATTCATCCCAAAGTTGGAGTAAAAATGTGACATTTTCTGTTTTGCCCAGCAAGGATACTGGATGTTTTCCTGATCCTGAAGCCTGAATTTCCTACCTTGTTGTTTTTAACCTACCAGTTCTGGTCCTGCCTTTGGGGGCAGCAGGGAATAAGGCCACTCCCTCTTGTGTGTGACACTCCTTCAGATGTCTGAAGACTGCTACCACCCCTCCTCTTGGTTGTCCCTTCTGCAAACTGAACCTACCCAGATTCTTCAACCGTTCCTCACAGGGCTTAGTTTCCAGACTTTCCACCATCATGGTAGGCCTCCTCTGAACTTGCTCTAATTTGTCACTGTCCTTTTTGAACTGTGATGGCCAGACCTGGACACATTACTCTAAGCAGGGTCTGACTAGAGCAGAGTAGAATAGAAGAGTTACTTCCCTTGACCTGGATTTTATCCTCCTGTTAGTGAACCCCATGCCTCTTTCTCTCTGTGTGTGTTTGTTTAATCTTTTGGAAGCTGGCATGATGGAAAGCAAAACAGCAGACTCGAGCACTGCCTTTATTTGCAAGTATGCCTCTGGACATCACAGAGATTCTTCAGGTATTTCTGGAAAACAGAAATGGTGGGTGGCTACAACTTAAGTCCTTTACTTGGAAATCTCATTTGTCCAGAAATTAGACATAACTAGGGTTAGAGACAGCATCCTAGGTCTAGAAGAAAGTACAGGGAGCAACCTTATGAGTTTGCTTTCTGGTAATCAGGTGTTCTGTGATAGGGAGTGCCCAACCAAGCAGCCATTTGAGGAAAGGGCCAGCCACTTCTACTTTCTGAGTTCTCAAAATCCTGGCTCAAACAGATTGTCTACAAAGAATGGCTATAAATCTCCAGGACATCTACCAATCTAAATCCAAGATTCTTTCTGGTCAGCCTGACCATATAAAAAAATCCAGAAGAGATGTTAAGAGACATGATTATATTTTGCTGTCATAAAACATTGGCCTGATTACCTCCTGAGTGGTCTTCTAGCACCATAATACCCCAGGCTCTCAGGAAATGTATGAAGAAGCTGGGCAGCCATTTAAAGAAGACACAAAAGACCAACTCAACTTTTAGGAAGAAACACGTTTCTTAAGAAAAAAATCAGCACCCTCACACTCAGGCACCCTCATTCTGTCTGCCACTTATGCACTGTCACATCAGGCGAATGTCACCACTAAATATGGATTCAAAAGGGGAGACCATATTTAAAAAGGGGAGATTTCAATCCCCTTGCAAATAAAGGAGTAAAAATGGTGCCCTTCAACTAGAAAGCAGAGCTAAGGAAGAGATTGTTGTTAGGTGGCAAGGAAACAAGTTAATCAGCTACAGTCTCCTTGCAGAATATAACATCTAAGCAACATATAACTCTTGAGAGCTTTGCCAAGGAAAAAATAATGGCCAACTTGTTTGAAAATAATACTGAGGACAAAAAGACAGGGATGCCAATATAATGGGCCATATGGTGGCCTCTGTCCACTAGAAAACCATATGGATTCTCTTTCTTTTAAGCCACTTTACACATCTGGGCAACTGGGGTTCTTCCAAAGAAGCCTCTAGGATAAGACACTGGATTCAGGAATGGGGGGCAGAACATCCCTGGTTTTCCCGAAGTCCCACACTTGCTGCTCGTGCACATAGCTTGTTCAGGCAATAGGCTAAAGGGAAAAAGAGGGAAGCCCACGGTAATGCTTACACCTTGTCCATCAACGTTCTCAGGTTGGGTTGGCCAGCAGGTCCAGAAGGATCTACTCTGCTCTCGCAAGGAAGCTTTGACGAAGCATGGTTTACCATCAACCAGGGGCAAACTCCTAAGGCCGTGTAGGAAGCAAAATAAGGAGAACTTCTCTTTCTTAATGGACATAGTAAGGGCAGAGAGATCAAAGGCCCTGGGGAGGGTTTTGGCCACCATGCTTAGGTCCCACTTCTTGCTCTCTCAAGAGTAGAACTGTTTTTTGAGAATTTGGGGGCTTTTAGTCCTGGGAGGGGGTCTTCTATAACACCATTGAGGGAGTTGCATGCTGGGAAGATTCTGTGAATATGCCAACCCAGTGCTTCTCAACCTTAGCAACGTTAAGATGGGTGGACTTCAATTCCCAGAATTCCCCCGCCAGCACTGTGCTAACCTATTATTTCTTAATCTGGCATTTTTATCCTCTCTTTTCCCCCACTTTACTTTAAA